CATTGTGCATGTACATATATTTATATGATTAACAGTTTTGCTTTATACCAGATTTCTATAAAAATCTGTCCACACAAAAGAAATTATTCATGTTATTGTTAATTTGAATTCTTCTGTATTGTGCTTTATTCTAATTTTCTAAATATTAGTCTACTTAAAATTTATTTGCATTTAAGCTTGGCTCAGAAATATTTTGAAATATCATTTATTAACAGAGCAAAATTCAAGATTTAGGGATGGAAATTGAAAAGTTCAATACGTTGGACTAAAAAAAAAACCCACAAATTATATATGATAAATTGCTTGTGTTTAACGCCACTTTTTATAATTTGCTATGTTGTGTCAGCCAATTCTTATTGGTACTTGAAGCAAGAATGCTCAGAAAGAACCATTGTAAGGAGCCACCCTACTCCTAGTCAATTAAGATTAGAGTTGAGCGAACCCGCACAAGGAGGGTTTAAACTCACAACCTCAGTGTAGACACGTAACTACTTTGGCATCCCCACAAGTAATGTTAGGAGTAAATCTAAATAACTGCAAATTAATTTCAAGTGGCTGCATTATTGTTTGTTGGAGTTATTGTTTTTATTAATTATTATTGTAACATTCTTAACTGTTGCCTTTTAGTCAACAGATTTGATAATATAATGTTGCAATATGAAGTTTAACTTTGTTATTTATATATATATATATTATAACAATATATATATGACATGATTTCTATAAAAAAGATTGATATGTAAAAGTGGTCAATTAAAGATAAAGTATATTAATAAATACATAGAATAATGTCTTTGAGTATATAATGTAGTTATATCATGATTATGCCTCTTTTCTCCTTAGACATATCATATAAAGTCATTAACATAGATGATTTATTTACATCTTTAGTCTTAACTCTTTTTTTTTATTCTATTTCAGCTTAATTACTTTTGTTTATTTACTATTACAATAAAATTTATTTCAGTTTAATAAAAATGATGATTACAAATATATTTTAAAAAGTCTTAGTGAAATTAGAAACATTCAAATTGAAATGTGAAACTTGTGATTATTTTTGGACTCAGTAGACAATTAAAATATGACTATAATTTCATACTGGGTAACTAATAGCTTGATTAGAAGTTGAAAATAATTCTTAACTATGTATCTCTTATATTTACAGATAACATTAGGAACGAAGAAGAGCTTGGAACATTTCAGTTTTGAGGATTTATGAAACAGAGGACTATTTGACATTAGATGATGTTTTGCATGGACTTTTTTACATTAATGCCTCTTATATTTTAAGATGTATCATTATTACATTTTTTTTTTATTTACATCCAAAGTCTAAGTATTTTTGTTTATTTTCTAGAAGCTTATTTATTTTTAATTATTTAAATTTTTATTTACATATGTTTCATTTTTACATTATTTTTAAATTTTTCATCCTTTAATTAATTTTTTTTTCCCTTAACATATTTTTGTTTTCAAATATACACACAGCTACATTTATCATTTTCAGCAGAGCCTATTTGATGAATAAGATCAAAAGGTACTAACTTCAAGGATATAAATTCTTGACTTTTTTTTTCTTGTTGACAATCAGTTGAAACAAATTTTGACAAAAGAGAATGTGCAAGTCAACGTTAAATGTAAAATATTCTAAATGTCACTGTTGGTGATTTTCTTTCTGCAAGGAAAGACTACTGTTTCTGTAATTGTGAATGCTAGTCATTCTGTGTTGTTTGGGGAAAGACGGTATTGCACCCTAAGTACCTATAATTGTGAATGCTAGTCATTTTGTGTTGTTTGGGGAAAGACGGTATTGCACCCTAAGTACCTATAATTGTGAATGCTAGTCATTTTGTGTTGTTTGGGGAAAGACGGTATTGCACCCTAATTACCTATAATTGTGAATGCTAGTCATTTTGTGTTGTTTGGGGAAAGACAGTATTGCACCCTACGTACCTATAATTGTGAATGCTAGTCATTTTGTGTTGTTTGGGGAAAGACAGTATTGCACCCTACGTGCCTATAATTGTGAATGCTAGTCATTCTGTGTTGTTTGGGGAAAGACGGTATTGCACCCTAAGTACCTATAATTGTGAATGCTAGTCATTCTGTGTTGTTTGGGGAAAGACGGTATTGCACCCTAAGATACCTATAATTGTGAATGCTAGTCATTTGGTGTTGTTTGGGGAAAGACGGTATTGCACCCTAAGTACCTATAATTGTGAATGCTAGTCATTCTGTGTTGTTTGGGGAAAGACGGTATTGCACCCTAAGATACCTATAATTGTGAATGCTAGTCATTTGGTGTTGTTTGGGGAAAGACGGTATTGCACCCTAAGTACCTATAATTGTGAATGCTGGTCATTTTGTGTTGTTTGGGGAAAGACGGTATTGCACCCTAATTACCTATAATTGTGAATGCTAGTCATTTTGTATTGTTTGGGGAAAGACGGTATTGCACCCTAATTACCTATAATTGTGAATGCTAGTCATTTTGTGTTGTTTGAGGAAAGACGGTATTGCACCCTAAGTACCTATAATTGTGAATGCTAGTCATTCTGTGTTGTTTGGGGAAAGACGGTATTGCACCCTAAGTACCTATAATTGTGAATGCTAGTCATTTTGTGTTGTTTGGGGAAAGACGGTATTGCACCCTAAGTACCTATAATTGTGAATGCTAGGCATTTTGTGTTGTTTGGGGAAAGACGGTATTGCACCCTAAGTACCTATAATTGTGAATGCTAGTCATTTTGTGTTGTTTGGGGAAAGACGGTATTGCACCCTAAGATACCTATAATTGTGAATGCTAGTCATTTGGTGTTGTTTGGGGAAAGACGGTATTGCACCCTAAGTACCTATAATTGTGAATGCTAGTCATTTTGTGTTGTTTGGGGAAAGACGGTATTGCACCCTAAGTACCTATAATTGTGAATGCTAGTCATTTTGTGTTGTTTGGGGAAAGACGGTATTGCACCCTAAGATACCTATAATTGTGAATGCTAGTCATTTGGTGTTGTTTGGGGAAAGACGGTATTGCACCCTAAGATACCTATAATTGTGAATGCTAGTCATTTGGTGTTGTTTGGGGAAAGACGGTATTGCACTCTAAGCACCTATAATTGTGAATGCTAGTCATTCTGTGTTGTTTGGGGAAAAACGGTATTGCACCCTAAGATACCTATAATTGTGAATGCTAGTCATTTGGTGTTGTTTGGGGAAAGACGGTATTGCACCCTAAGTACCTATAATTGTGAATGCTGGTCATTTTGTGTTGTTTGGGGAAAGACAGTATTGCACCCTAATTACCTATAATTGTGAATGCTAGTCATTTTGTATTGTTTGGGGAAAGACGGTATTGCACCCTAATTACCTATAATTGTGAATGCTAGTCATTTTGTGTTGTTTGGGGAAAGACGGTATTGCACCCTAAGTACCTATAATTGTAAATGCTAGTCATTCTGTGTTGTTTGGGGAAAGACGGTATTGCACCCTAAGTACCTATAATTGTAAATGCTAGTCATTCTGTGTTGTTTGGGGAAAGACGGTATTTTACACCCTAAGTACCTATAATTGTGAATACTAGTCATTCTGTGTTGTTTGGGGAAAGACGGTATTGCACCCTAAGTACCTATAATTGTGAATGCTAGTCATTATGTGTTGTTTGGGGAAAGACGGTATTGCACCCTAAGTACCTATAATTGTGAATGCTAGTCATTTTGTGTTGTTTGGGGAAAGACGGTATTGCACCCTAAGATACCTATAATTGTGAATGCTAGTCATTTGGTGTTGTTTGGGGAAAGACGGTATTGCACCCTAAGATACCTATAATTGTGAATGCTAGTCATTTGGTGTTGTTTGGGGAAAGACGGTATTGCACCCTAAGTACCTATAATTGTGAATGCTAGTCATTCTGTGTTGTTTGGGGAAAGACGGTATTGCACCCTAAGATACCTATAATTGTGAATGCTAGTCATTTGGTGTTGTTTGGGGAAAGACGGTATTGCACCCTAAGTACCTATAATTGTGAATGCTAGTCATTTTGTGTTGTTTGGGGAAAGACGGTATTGCATCCTAAGATACCTATAATTGTGAATGCTGGTCATTTTGGGTTGTTTGGGGAAAGACGGTATTGCATCCTAATTACCTATAATTGTGAATGCTAGTCATTTTGTGTTGTTTGGGGAAAGACGGTATTGCACCCTAAGTACCTATAATTGTGAATGCTAGTCATTTTGTGTTGTTTGGGGAAAGACGGTATTGCACCCTAAGATACCTATAATTGTGAATGCTAGTCATTTTGTGTTGTTTGGGGAAAGACGGTATTGCACCCTAATTACCTATAATTGTGAATACTAGTCATTTTGTGTTGTTTGGGGAAAGACGGTATTGCACCCTAAGTACCTATAATTGTGAATGCTAGTCATTTTGTGTTGTTTGGGGAAAGACGGTATTGCACCCTAAGATACCTATAATTGTGAATGCTAGTCATTCTGTGTTGTTTGGGGAAAGACGGTATTGCACCCTAATTACCTATAATTGTGAATGCTAGTCATTCTGTGTTGTTTGGGGAAAGACGGTATTGCACCCTAATTACCTATAATTATGAATGCTAGTCATTTTGTGTTGTTTGGGGAAAGACGGTATTGCACCCTAAGATACCTATAATTGTGAATGCTAGTCATTTTGTGTTGTTTGGGGAAAGACGGTATTGCACCCTAAGAAACCTATAATTGTGAATGCTAGTCATTTTGTGTTGTTTGGGGAAAGACGGTATTGCACCCTAATTACCTATAATTGTGAATGCTTGTCATTTTGTGTTGTTTGGGGAAAGACGGTATTGCACCGTAAGTACCTATAATTGTGAATGCTAGTCATTCTGTGTTGTTTGGGGAAAGACGGTATAGCACCCTAAGATACCTATAATTGTGAATGCTAGTCATTTTGTGTTGTTTGGGGAAAGACGGTATTGCACCCTAATTACCTATAATTGTGAATGCTTGTCATTTTGTGTTGTTTGGGGAAAGACGGTATTGCACCCTAAGTACCTATAATTGTGAATGCTAGTCATTCTGTGTTGTTTGGGGAAAGACGGTATTGCACCCTAAGTACCTATAATTGTGAATGCTTGTCATTTTGTGTTGTTTGGGGAAAGACGGTATTGCACCCTAATTACCTATAATTGTGAATGCTTGTCATTTTGTGTTGTTTGGGGAAAGACGGTATTGCACCCTAAGTACCTATAATTGTGAATGCTAGTCATTCTGTGTTGTTTGGGGAAAGACGGTATTGCACCCTAAGTACCTATAATTGTGAATGCTTGTCATTTTGTGTTGTTCGGGGAAAGACGGTATTGCACCCTAATTACCTATAATTGTGAATGCTAGTCATTTTGTGTTGTTTGGGGAAAGACGGTATTGCACCCTAAGTACCTATAATTGTGAATGCTAGTCATTTTGTATTGTTTGGGGAAAGACGGTATTGCACCCTAAGATACCTATAATTGTGAATGCTGGTCATTTTGTGTTGTTTGGGGAAAGACGGTATTGCACCCTAAGATACCTATAATTGTGAATGCTGGTCATTCCATATCTGTATGTTTCGTGTATGAATGCTAGTCATTCAGTTTGTAGTTTTTATGTTGACATTCATTTGTTAAGGACAGTGACTAAATTGTCTGCAACTTATCAGACTAAGAGAGAAATGGTTTTATTTGCCAATTGCAACCCGCTATATGTCGACTGGTTTTCTGGCTTTTTCACGCCAATATGACCAGAAATTATTTTAGAACAAGTATGTTTCAAGTTTGAATAGGAATTTAATTCATCTTTTGAAACTAACAAAAACAAATATTTTGCAAGGTTACAAAGCTGTTTAAAAATTATTTCATTAAAATTTAGATATTTAACACAGTATTCAAAATGGAAAGATTATGATCCATAGGACTGATACAAAAGGACATTGTCTCATTGGCAATCATACCACATTCTTTATTTTTATATGGAATATTGAAAAGGACTTTTATTACTTTCTTATATTAAATAATAAATATGTTGAAGGTTGATAATGTAGCTGGTGTATTTTTTCTTTTTTCATTTTTTTTCAATTTGTTTTCCTCTTTTGTTTTTTAGTTTAATAAAAACTGAATCTTATGTATGCTTTAGTGTTCTATTTTGATAAACTAGGTATTAACAAGTAATTTCATTCACCCATCTCCAAACCATCCACCAAGACCATTGTATAAATGGTAAAATAATCAGTGCAAAACAGTTGTATCCAATGTTCAGCCTGATTGATTTTCCAATTTGTTTTACATTAATAATCTATCAACATTAATGGTCATTTCACTTTTAATATGGCATGTTTAATCACAAGTCAAGGATATGCATGCAATATATTGCATTGCATGGTCAAGTTTCAATGTATTACTGATATACAAAGGCGGAAGATACAAAGGGGCAATCAAACTTGCAAGTTGAAAACAATGGATAAAGCCATCACAAAAAAATAAAGATGACAAGACAAACATGTGTCTACTTTACAACATGGATCACTAAAGACTCTGAGCAACATGAACCCCACAAAAATATAGGTGATCTCAGGTGCTCTGGATGAGACAGCTGATCCTGCTCAAAATGTAGTATTAAGAATGATATGCCCAAGTGGTCTTTTCCCACATGTGATCACATGATTTTGTAAAACCTTGGTTTTTTAATACTGTAAATTTACAAATTATTGTGTGCATTTATTATTGCTATTTTTGAAGAATGAACTAAAATGTAAGATTAAATATTGTTGTTTCAAGAAAATCTGTACACAGATATATGAATCTGATTAAGATATAGATCCTGTGTCCAAGCTTTGCTTCCTTGTAACGAAAGCGTGGACATAGGATCTGTATTTAAATCAGATTGATAAGCTATCGGAATATAAGTTCTTTTTGATGGGATATTCACCCAGTCACAATAATGCATTAATAAAAACTTCACAATTATTTCTTAATTTACAGTACCTAAAATGTCCACCATGAGAGACATGTAGAAAGAATAGTGTGAAATAAGAGATATGGGTTTAACACCAATTCCAATAATATAAAATAGGATCACCAAAATCAGTGAGACATATACAAGGCATCTTCAAGTTTGATCTTAGAAGCAATTTGGCCTTTGTTTTATTTCCCTATTAGTCATATACAGCTTTTTCATGAATTGAGACTTGTGTGTACTTGGATTTGAGTATTCCTGCTGATTGATTAAAACAATTTTTGTTTCAATAGTTACAGTCCTATACACCCCTAAAAATTAATGGTGTAGTGTCTAACAGATTCCTTGATAAGGATAGGCACATATAAACAAATGTGGGAGTGTAACCTTCCCACTAGTCTGGTACAGATTTGTTTAACAAGAACAGACCCTAAAAAATCAAGTGAAAAGGGATTGACTCATCAGACTGGTTCTTCAAGTCACAGTGCCAGTCTATATTTGTTGATCTCGGGATAAATGAATACAGATAACTCAATCTCATGAGTTGTGAACATATTGCTAAAATGTTCAAGTTCTGAATAAGAACAATAAGACCCTTTTAATATAGTGGATCCAAATTTGTTGGGATCCTTCAATGGTTGGTTCAATTCTGTTTTTTAATATTAATGTATACAACACAACATCAAAGATTTCCTGGCTTGCATGTAAATATGTTGTTTTAGTACGTTGTGTACAGAATCTGAGATTAGTTAAGGTTTTTCACCTGGCATGTGTTTAAGGTTTTCATTTTCTTGAAAGCAGGAAGGGGGGCACCACCAGACAACTGAAATAATAACGAAATCCAGTCATACACAAAACAAGTTCTTGGTATAGTCATGTGCCTTTATTTATCTGGGTCACATGTATTTATATCTCAACCAATGAAAAGCTTTAGGATGCAATTGTGTCAGTTATTTCCAGACGGGGGTATTACCCGCGGTTTTTTGGAAGTCAACGGAGGTCGAAACTTTATTTGTCATATTTCAATAACGAACCAATTATTTTATTTATTTTTTTTGGCAGTCGTTTAACAAAATCTATTCTGATGAAAATTAAATTGCAAATACTGTTGAATGATAAGTCGTTTTGATAAATTTATTGTCTGAATCGCATGCTACGTTTTTGTTTACAAGCTGATTAAAGCGCCACCTCGAAATTTTTCGATTATGTCCCCTTTCCCGCGTGACCACCGAAAGGAACTCTTCAATGTCACTGGCTTTCCCACTGATTTGTTTTCTCTCAATCGATTTATGACTTTTGAACACCGCTAAACTACTTATTGCCTTTATTTATATATTGTAGCACTTTTTTTCTAAAAAACAATACAGAATAGTGTCTACGTTGTAACACTGACTTAATTAATTGACAATATCTGTATTTTTTGATTTGACAAAGGAGGATTTTTTTTTAGTTTCAAAAGTATGCTCATTGACATCGAATTAATAATGCACTTGATGATCTCTTATATTGATTCAAGAACAATAGCAGACTTTAACTAGGCGATTTTTCAATAATATATTATACATTATTTCCGAAAGTATTTTGAACAATATTCATTCTATCAGGGTGCAACTCATTATTAAATACAGCTTTTTGTCACACTAAAAAAATAACGTGATATGGTATTATCTACTCGAGACAAAAATGAATTGGTTCGTACTTGTGTTGATCTATCCAAAGATCAACAAAGGAATTTCTCTTATATCTAAATATGTATAACGAGGTATGGTCTTACAATGTATCTAGTATATCTGATTATTCTACCGTTCAAACAGGCATACTTTAAAAAATCTACCGATCAGTATGGCATAATGCTCTCTTCGATCATTGACTAATAACAGACACCAATAGTTCACCAATATTCAAATTTCATAAATAAGTTAAGAAGATACAAAACAAGACAAGAAACAAACTAAAGTAACAGCATAAATTTCAAAAGGAGAGAGCTGATACGTCAACAAGGTAATCGTCTCCTGTTATACAAGCACAAACCTTAAACAGTGGTGTAACAACACATCTTAAGATAAACGAAGCTAAATACACATTGATGATTTTAGCGTTTGATATAGTTTTGGTTTATGTCGTTGAGTTGTTCTTTCACTAAACTTTATCTATACCTCCTTTAAGTTATCCTTTTCTGTTCGATACTTACGTATCTAAACTGACCTGAAGGGTTGACAAGGGTATAAAAATATGGTCATATCTAGGTGTTTGTGCGACCGGCCGGGAGCTCAACAGAACAACCGTCTATTACCTGTGTTGGTTGTGCTAACCTTTTACGTCAAAGAAAAACAAACAAAGCCATTGCATCAAACAAAAACAAAAACGAATAGACAAGCAATAGTCCATAAAGAACAACATGAACAATTTAGAAAGTAAAATCAACTGTGCAGCACTAACCCCTCACAAAAAACGGTTGAAGCTTAAATCTCCGAAAGGGCTAGTAGATACGTCTTTAGGTCAGACGACCGTGTTTAGATGATTAACCCTACAACATCTGTTTAAAGCTGGGCTACATCAGCCATGTTTTCTTCTATTCGGTTTTTCTTTGAGTGTGTATTACATTTCTTGAAATTTTGGTTTTGATTGTTGGTATGTTCTGTTAAAAGGTCCATTACGTACAAACGAATACGAATTTGACTCCCAATGAGCACGCACGATCTAGCTATCTAGTTTGTTTATAATAGATGAAGAAAAATGACATTCCATTAATTTTTTGCGTTCGAATCGCTTTTCTGTATTTTACTTTATTATACTAAAACATTTTTGGACAATGGATTTAAAAATTGTACAATAATATAAACTCGTGTCACCTCTCTCAAACATTTTCTTTAGACTTGTCCTTAGACATACTCCCTAAAGATGCATGCTTAAAGTAGATTAAATTCGTCCACCAACTTACCCCCCCCCCCAAAAAAAAAGGGATTAATTATAAATTAATTTAATTACAATACCTGATTCGTTGTTTATTAGATGCCCATACACTTCTACTTCACAAATGACTAAGTATAACGTATCACGGCGTTTAATCCTGATATACCTTCCTTGAGTGTTAGGAGGGCAGGTAACCGTAATTCTCTGACTTTCTGATGCCTGGTAGCGACAATTAATTTTACATCCTTCATTCAAATTATTCCAGTGATTACATGTACATGTTGGCAAAATAATTTCAACATCAAAGTTAGCGAGATTGGACCGATCAGCTGAGAATAAAATAAATATTAAAATATAGTTCGTAATTGAAATTGAAATGTTACGATATGACTGCCTCATGTTTTGGAATTTCAAATAGTTTTGCCTAGAACATGACTGGTGATACATTACTTGTCAAAGTAGTTATCTGGCGAAGTCAATATGTTACTGTTCATATTATTTCTAACATTTTGTCAATTACTCCGCTGTTTAAGTCCTTAATGTATACCTGGTCTAGTAACCAGTACCACAGTAGTGGCATGGCAGTACGGACTGTGTTTGATTTGATGTACCTTTTTGTGTATACCTCTGATTCCATGTCCGAATTTCTTTCACTGTTGGTTCTATTAGGTTTTATGCGCTCTTTAAGCATCACTGAAAATACTAAAATTGTCGAGATGAGAATCTTATACGGTACAATGTGTACTGTTAGTGATATCAATCACCTTCATGTTATGGTCTTTTTTTGACTGATGATTTACCCAGACAAAATAGCAGTAAAACATTCAACAGAGTTATGTTTAGCATATAAAAATTTATCTAAAACCTTGTCAAATATTTAAACGACATGTTGAACTT